AGTGGAGCATCTAGGCCCACCTGGAAGGTTTTGATGCGAAGCATAGCGGAGCATTAGTTATCATTATAGATTTCTTATCCAGTTTAAGTTTGAAAAAAAGAAAAAAAGTAATCTGTCTGTTAACAGTTACTAATTAACTACACTTATCTGGACACGAAAGGCAAAGCCTCATTGTTTTACAATACTTGAGAGTGAATAGGGGTGAGAACGAATTTATTGTAGTGTTTTAATGTATAGTAGCTACTGAAAAAATAACTAAGTTTAGATAATTAATTACCTATTCTCTACTTCTAAATGAAATTATTTGTGATCCACGATGGATGGTTAAGAATAATCATGCCAGTCTCTCTGAAATAATTATTGAATGCAGAAATAAAACTGATATTATTATCTCGTATTATTCAACTTATAACTGGGAAAGGTACATTCTCTGCTTCAGAATCGCTAAATTCAAACTCTATCCCAGAATCGCTAGATTCAGATTCTGTTTCAGAATATTCTGAATCATAATATTCACTCAGGTCAGTTGGAGCCTTAAAATCAAATGTATAATCCGGAAATAATAGCTTATAAAATTTTTGTAAAGAAAGAGTACGTTTCTCTTTTTTATACCATTGATTATACATTTTATAATAATATTCCATGGAACGATACATACGATAATACTTAAAATTTTCTGGTTCTGGGTATATATGTTCTCTGATTCTATCCATTAATCGATCTAACCATCTTTCACCTAAAACTAATTTGCATTTTGGCTTATTAAGAACTAAAAAATGCTCAAAAGATTCGCCTAAACATTTAGGTAAAGGAGTTTTTTGTGATTCTAATTTGAAGATATCCGGAATGGGAATGGAAATTTTTTCACTACGTATCCACCCCCTTACCATTACTTTTTTACCAGAATTTATCACATCAATTCCAAGTTCTTTTACTGCGGGATATCCTGATCCACCAAAATCCCTAGAAATATAGCAATCCAATTTTTTAGCAAGTGCTTTACTAATATTGCTAT